TTTGTTATAGTCATAACACATAGCATTCATCCCACCTAACTTTGGCCAACTATCCTAAAAGAAGCTGTTCAGATACCCCTTCATGGGAAATGGTGAAAAATTTTGCCTAATCCTAATCTCAATTCTTCTCTTTATTTAAAAACAAAAACAAAAATTCAGATTAATCAATCACTAAATTGTTCCATTGATTGTAAAGAAAAAGAGGATGAATAACTAAAATGTACTTGGTCTAGATTAGGTTAGAAATATTTTGCCACTAACCACTCTGGAACCACTACACACTTCCAGTTCCTTTGTTTTGCTATTTGATTTCCCATCAAGATCACAACATGAAGCTTGAAAATGTATTTTTAAATGATTGCAGAATTTATTTAGAATCACACATTCACCAGCCACTTGTAAGGTAAACTGTGAGCAGAAAAGATTAAACTAATCCTGTTGGATGTACTGAGGAAAACAAAAATTAAGTTGAAAAACAGGAACAGCAGAGAAAAGCAGTTCATGCACTGGCATCAAAATGTTCTGAGAAAAATTCTGCTACTTAAAAGTAGCAGAAAATGCATGATGTTGTCCTTTCATCAAATTACATAGTACTTGTATGGTAGAGAGGGACGGTGAAAATTAAGATGCTATTGGGAAAGTAAAATCCAGTGACATGTATAATTAAAAAAAAAAAAAAAGGCACCAACCACTCTATGAAGTAAATGCAGCAAGTGGAAAAAGAATTGTTAGAAGCCTTTACCAGAATCTTCTACTACTCTGCAAGTTCTTGGATATGACCCTGGCCTCTCAATAGGTGCAAAGGAAGACAGAAAGAGCAAGACAGAGTAAAATAGTCAGCTGTCCAGAGGAGGACAACTTTTAGACGTTTGCAGTTCTAATAATGGGAGTGAAAATCAGCCACTAAATGGGGTTTGTGTCATGGAGGATGTGAATCGAGTGGCAGAAAAAAAATTGTTCTTGGAAAGGAAGTGATGTTAATCCTATAAATGAAGAAACCGTCAGTGAGCCTGAGCTGACGTTCATATTTGCAGCGGAAAGCCACAAATGCCAATTTGAGACCAGGGAAGACAGAAGACAAATTCAAGGTCATCCAAGTAGCAAAGCAGAAATAGTGAGCTAAAATGCTTCATCTATTGACAAGCTCACCCACAGGGTTTATTTAACTGATAAACACTTAAAGACTATGAAATATACTTTAATGGACTGGCTTGTGAGTTAATGAACCAGCGCATTCCTCTAGATAGAATCAGAACAGCTTGGCTGAGATTCCTAAGGTGTGATGGTTTTCTTTGACTCGTGTGCCAGATGCCGGTACTTTTGGGCCAGGTATTTCTTGCTGTTTCTCTGAACTGTTAAAAGCCCCTGGTCTTTTGCACAGTGACAATTTGTATTTTCCAAGAATCAAGGTTTTTTTCTTTCTGATTTCTGATTCTTTCTTACAACAAAAAGTATTTTTTTAGCTCTGTTTTGCCTCACTACCTCATGACCTTGCTCCACTCTGTTTTTTCTCTAATAAAAAGGCATCATTTTTTAATAATGTAGCTCTTTGTGCAATTAGGGAGAGTGATATTATATTGCAGTTTGTCTTTCAGACTGCAGTATGATGTTTTTACATGCTTCTCTATAAGCCTTACCCCATATGGATTTTAATTCGGCAAAACTTTTCTGCTCAGGGTGACTTGGCTGAAGAATCACCTTTTGGTGCACACAGATACACCGTGTTCAAACAGCGCTCAGAAGTGGAGCTCATCCTGCAGGCCTTGGGCCAAAAGGACAGCCCTTAGTTGCCCAGCCTGCATTCTACTCCTGGTGGCCTTTCCCACAGGACAAGTCTTGAGAGTCCTCAATGCTGGATAGATCATCATGGCAGCATTAGCAACCTACCATCGCTCTCAAGGTTGTTTGTCTTCCTTTCCGACTTCTTCCAGGGTGCCCTGAATTTAAATGGGAACATGCAGCCGAGCCCACAATGCTGCATCTCCCAGTCACAGATACAGCTTCCTGGAGTCCTTCGGAGCCCCTGCTGTACACATGGATATATAACTGCTATGGAGAGGAAGGACTTCAAGAAAATGTGTCATAACAAAAAGAGGAAAGCAAATGCCTTCCCATAACCCCCTATTGTAACTTCAGTGTTCATGCAGGAACACCTGACTGCCAGCTTGCTCCTGTGCCAGATGCAGAAAGTCTCTCAAGCTTCCTTCGCCATTTAAAGAGAGTGCTAGCACCAGCCAGGAGACACTGCCAGATGCAGAAAGTTTTAAGGCAAACTAATGGTGTTGGATACTCTCCTGCTCTAATCTCAATTTAAATTAGTAACTAGAGGCAACACACCGGGAGCTTTTCTAGTCTACTTCCTGAAGAAGCAAATCAAATCTCGAATAAAATATTCAACATTTGGAGGCTGAGCACAGAATGCTGCAAGTCTGAGCACAGCCCTTAGCGCACACTGATGAAGCACTTTTCCTAAGATGCTGGAAATGTAGGCAGCTCAGTTTGACAACACGTCCAGTTTTATTTGTTTTGGGATATCTGATCCTCTGGAGGCATGCAAAATGATCCAGGGTGCTGCAGGGTATTTCACCACTACCTCTCTTCACCCTTGTACTTCTTTTTGATCTATTGCTATCCAGTGCCTAGGGCTGACTTCATGCGCTGTACAAGCCACGATCTGATCCATCCTCTCCTGTCCTGTTGGCCACAGCCAGCCCATCCCGCTACACCCAAACTGCCGATACTGTGACAGGTCCTAAGTCCACACTTCATAAACCAGTAGCTTTTATCAGAAGGAGATAGGAACCCCAGCGCTGGCAGCAGTGCCAGCCCTGGCCAACAAAGATGGTTTTAGAATGATATTCTTGGCACCTTGCGGCATCTTTAACAAAGCTGGCAGTGACAGCTGAAAACCTGCCAGGGAGATTTGCCCAGAAGAAGGAAACGGGATGTGGTAGGGTGTGGTGGTGAAGAGAAGAGAATATTTCAGAGCATATTCGCATTTTCTCACACATATTTCTCACCCTTAACGTTTGGGAAGGGAGGGACATTACTTTGAGGGGCATGCCCCATTCAAACAAACAAGACAGTGGTAACAGACCAAAGAGATCCATCAGCCTTGTAAAAACCACCTCTTTTCCAAGCATGACCTGGCAGATCAGTGCAATATTTAGGGGGCACAGGCCCTGTCTAAATCAATACTCTGGTAAGCTCATGGCAAGGACAAAATGAATTGTGTACAAATGAAGGTTCAGACAAAAGGTCTGGGTTTCATATCAAGATCTGCTCACCGGCTGCACAGGTTCGCATACATATTTGTGATGCTCCGTGCAAGTAAAGCCAGAAGAACATATACCTACAAGATTAAAGCTCTATTATACTTAAAAACCACATGCTCAGCTCCAGTAAAGACTAAAACCTAAAAGTAAAGTCTAAAGACCCTCACACCGCAGCTACTTGCTGAAACTCAGTGACGCTCAGATAAAAATACATTAGCCTTAACGGGACATATCCATATAACCATTAATTTCAGCTCCTGCTCTCTGTAAAATGTGGAGAACACTTGCTTTCTCTCCTGGATACTGTGAAGTACGGCGTTTTAGTATTTGTCAAGTACTTTGTAGTCTTCATGCAGGCAAGAAGTGCTGCTTTGGGTACTATGTTATTCTACCAGTCAAAATAGTTGGCTCTCACTGCCAGAGTGGTTAAATTTCTCTGGGGTAAGTGAAAGCTATCACAAATTAAAATGAAAAAGCAAACTAGAGACCTATTTCAAATGGGAAAACAAATATAACTTTGTGAGAAAGACCAAAAACATCTTTTTAAAAAAAAAAAAAAAAAAAAAAAGGCAAACAACAACAACAAAAAAACCCCTCTTCACACTGTAATGTTCCCCTGCATTCCCTGGCTGCAGCTGATAGATTTACAGAAATACTTGGCAAAACAGCTATGCTTCTAGTGTTATTGACTGGACAAGACAAAGGGAGTAGGGGCCGAACCACAAAACAGCCCATTTCCATGTATTCTCCATACCAAGACAACATTCAAAGTTTTCACCAAGAAGGCCATCCAAGTTCTCATAATCGCATTTACCACCACAGGGAAACTGGAACTGAGTCCAGGGAGTGTTTTAGCTACAGAATTCATTTCTGTAAATCCCGTGAAGACCATAGAGCCTGGCATACCAAACACAGGCTTTGGGTTTATACTCCCCTGCCCCCACCTTGTGTCTAGCGCTATGGTCCTCTCTCCCACCCAGAAAAACCAGCCATGCCCAGGGAACCAGTTACAATGTGGCTCTCCCTGACACTGACTCAGGAGAACTTTGTTCTGCAAAGTAAAGGAAAACTAAATGCTTTATGGCTTTGCTTCTGGAAGATACTGCCTCATGTACCACTTGCTTTTTTGGCCAAGGGCAATAGCATGAACTGCAGGCATGGTTAGAGCACAGTTGTGTCTGTTCGGCAAAGTACACCTGGTTTCTCTAGTAGCTGGGACCAGGTCCAAAGGACGCAGCTGTTTACACACCACCACCTTCTGCAGCTTCTGGTAGGCACGGTCACGCTGGAGAACTGTCTAGGACTGCCTGACTTCTTGCCCCAGGTTTGGACCCAGTTAGCACAGTGCATGCAAGGATTGCCATGTTAGTCATCCTCTTTTTCTGTATCGACTACTACGGCAACGATACACAAAAGCAGAGTTTGGTTATTCTGTTTCAGAATAACCCCATCAGGGAACAACCAAAATTGCCTCGTGGTCTCCAACCAAGGAGATGCCTGCATTTCATAGCGGGCAACAGCGGTGTCAGCTGGGAGCGCTGCATCCCTACGCCTGATTTGCCCCTAAGGTACATCACACAAACTAAGAGCAACATTCAGAGGATTTCACAAAGCCCTTCAACATTGGTGAGCGGGCCACATGACTGCATTTACACGTAACGCAACTGAATATTTTTTAATTATGTATTTCACACCCGTGAGGAAGAACTCATTGGAAGTGTTCACCTGCGCCCGGGAGCTGGCTGCGCAGAGGCTGGGGAGAGCGCCTGGACAGGGGTGACTGACCTCTCGCCTGGCCGGCGAGGCCGTGGCGTGCCAGCTCCGACGGCTGCCTTGCAGAGCGCACGCGGTCACCGGCCTCTGTCAAGAGGAGCTGAGCAAGGAGAAAGACGACTCTGTGAGAGGGAGGGAGAAAACACCCAACAAAAGAGGATGAAATGGAGTAATTAGCTTCTTCCTATGCAATCTCCAGCACACTGCCAAACCTTCTTGCTGCCCCACGACAGGCAGACAAAAGGCTTTTTCAGCTGTAACATGTTACGCGACCAACAACGGCAGCTATCTCCTAGTGCCTTTTAGGGACTTGCACACATGTGCTGCTCTATTTGCAGGCCAAGGGAAAACCAGCCTTAGCATTATCAGACGTACAGATACAAAATGCTTGTTGCAGCGCTGCTGGCACTCAGCATATGGTTAGCCTGATTTATTTCTGTTGAAACAGAAGCCAGTGTTTCTTCGTGCTGAGTCCTGCCATGGTAAAAATAAGGGGCAGTCTGTGCCCTGGAGAGTTTAATTCAGTGATAAAGATGACATTTTGTCCTTGCCCTTTTCCATCATTTCTGGATGCAGGCACTTGAATAAAAAGAACCCAAAGTACCGTATATTATACCTCACACGTTTCATTTCCTAGGAACTAAGCAGTGAGTGTTGCTTATGCAGCCTTAAAATGGACGCATGTTACAGGAACAGATTGTCCATTTTTGTGTTTATACTGCTCAGGAAAAACATTTAAAAGGATTCACCCAGCAGCAAGACATTTTTCCTGCAGGACTGCTGGAAGATTAGGTTTCTATTCTGTCCATATGCGTGTCTGTATTTCTCACAGACACTCACGGGAGCTATGGTTTTCAACTATGTGCAGAGGCAGCAAGGGCAAATTAACAAGCATAAAATTAACATGCCATGCTTCAGATCGCAATCCACATGAGGAGAATGACAAACCCACGCTCCCTCTCCAAACCCTGACTAGATCCCCAGGCCTGACTTCATGTAATGACAAACAGGAACAGCATGGCAGAAGCAAGGCTGTGACCAGAGCCGAGGGACAGGGCTCACCTCTAGGCCACCAGGGCTGGTCCTGCCCCGCTAGACCCACTCGTGTCCGGGAGAGGGAAAGCTGACAGTTAGCTACGATGGCATCAGCTGCCTGCACACAGCTCAGACAAGCAGACCTATGCCATTCCCAAGCCAGGAGACAGGGATGAGGCAGCCTTCTCTGAAGACAACGTACATCGTAGAGCTTCGTCCCCTTGGGCACCCACTACAACAAACCCACTGCTGCCAATGTGTTATCGCAACAGCTTCCACCGGTGTGACATGCAAATACCATTTGATAATTAATAACAAGATTGTTTGAAGCAGCGTTTTGCCAAGGTATCAGGCCAAATGATAATGCACTCCCTCATGTACTCCTGCAGTTTAAACCACTACAGCGTTACTCTCTGCTGCCTGTCCTGAAGAGTTACCACGCAATGCGAAACAACTGCTGCATCGCGCCCTTACAGAGATGAACTGTTCCCAATATATACATTTGAATACCTGAGACCAATTAAGATATAAGACGTTACAGAAATAGAGGTTATTAATAACAACAGGATGATATGTAAAATTCAGTGACTCATTCTCAGGATGTATCTCACAATACCAGTCAACTTATAAAATTTAAACACAATTACATGCTACCTGAATATATTTGGCTTATTTTGCAATATACTGTATATTAAACTTTCCCTTTCATGTTTGCGTAATAAATCTGAATGGAGCTTTCTATTGCATTCACGCTTGGATGATTGCTTTTGGTTATTTTATAGCACATGCTTTGTACAGGGGGACAGAGTAAAATTAAGCTTTTACTACAAAACTGTAAAACAAAATGAAATGTGAATGTTTGTCTGCTGTAGAAAGGTGATTAACCTACTTCCCGTTAACTCAGGTGGCACTTTTTATCACTGACATGTAACCACTGATGATACTTTTGTTATTGTTGTTGTTATTTTGGGATATATTTTAGTACCAAAACATAGAACAAAATATGGTTCTACGGTTTCATTTTGCTGGAGGTACACATGCTACGGTGAGGCAGCCAGCCGCAAGTATCCCCCATGACTTGCCCACAGAATTTGTTAAAGGAGATACCGCGGGTGAAACTCTCCTGCTGGCAGAGGGCCAACACGGAGCCTGCGCAGCACGTCAGCCTCTCATCAGCTTGACAGGAGAACATGAGTGCGTCTTACATGACTCAGTTGTGGTGGTGGCTCTCAGGAGGGGTGAATTCCCACCTTCTTATTTCTATTCCCAAATTTCACAAGCTTTGAGATACAATTCCAGGTAGAGCTGACTCAGCTGTCAAAATGCCATACAAACAGTGAATGAGAAAAGAAAAATCGGGTTTTTTTCACTCTTGCAAAACAGGGGTGAAGAACCTGCTCTTTGCTGAGGGTCAAACAGATCTTTCAAAGCCTTTTGGCAAGCCACACATTAACACACCCCAAAATATACATCACTCGGGGAAAAAAAAAGACAACATTAAAAAGCAACCCCCTCCCACCTCCCCCAGAGAAAAGCTGTCATGGTAAACTGCAGAAAAAAGAAGGTATCAGAAGTAAAACATTACGCTTGAAAACACAGAAGTCTTGTACAAACAAGAAAACTGAAGAAGGGTGCATACAATGGTAAGAAGATTGGGGGAAAACAGTGTCTTAAAGAACAACTGAATAAAGGCATAAAACCCGATATAAACATTTCCAAACATACCAGGAACAAGGAATGTGAGAGGCAATTTATAGAACCAGTAGAAGATCAAGAAATACAGAAAAACATGAAACTGGTGCACTAGAAGCAAAGGTCCATCCAACTGAGGGTCCTGTCTCTGGCAGTGATCAGTATCTGGTAATGTGAAAAACAGGTTAAGAGAAGGACCAGTATATTTCTTCTCACCTTCTGGCAATCTGCTAGTTAGAGACTCTCTAAAACAGAGCTTGCATCTGCATCTCCCCAGTTATATACACCTTTGTCATATATCCTAGTCATCTTTTTTTCAAACTGAAAGCACCAAGGATGAGGAAAAGTATGAAAAGCGTGAGGATTAAGTAACTGGGATTCTTTAAGTAAGAAAAAAGATTGGCCTGTGGGCTGCTGGCAGAGATGTCTATACGATCTCAGGCAGGATGGAGGTGAACAAGGGATGATTAGTCACTCTTTCTTAGAATGCAAGAAGTATGGAGCATTAAAAAGAAGTAGCACATACATGTTTTAGAAGCAAGGAAAGGCAGTGTTTTTTCAAGCCATGCAAGCATTAGGGAACTCACTGCTGCAAGATATGCAGATATACAAAGCATAAACGTGTTCCAAAAAGACAGACTCACGAAAGAAAAGCCTGTCAATGACTACTCGTTATCATAGGCTCCATCTGTTCAGAAAGTCCCGAAAGCCATAGAAAGCAAGAGACTTGTGTCTTTATATACCCTGGGTTTACAATGTTTCTCTAAGTAACTACTACTGATGCTGGGCTGGAAGGATCCTTGGCCTTTCCCCAGCACCCCCAGATTTACATAGGAGAGTAAGACTGTCCCAGTAAAACACACATAAATGAAATATCACAGAGCTGTGGCATTATGAAATGAGCTTGTGGATTTTAGCTAGGTCTCAGGCCCTAGTGTCCATATTCCAACTTTCATGCACATAGAAATATTAAAATACCAAAACAACGCACTGGAATTTGTAAAATGTAGGCTCATCACCATTCAGAAATGTACCTTTAGTTACTATGGTATTGTGTCATCTGACACAAGTTATTTACTTGCTCATCAACCCATCATGATTTATGCAAGCCCAGTAAAAGCTATCACACCATTGTTTCCAGAATGGCCCTAATCTCGGTATGCAGTTCTTGGTTTTATACAGATGCTAATTATTACGACTCCAGGGCAAATCAGCACAACATGACCAAAGAAATAAATTTTGCTGGATGCATAAAAGAAAAAAACCCCACAACCCGTACCGGTTGGTTCTCTGGAATCACAGTTGCACAACGTTAATACTGTACTCATGATCTTAATAGAAAATAATCCCTTGAAAATTAATTGCCACTAGACATTAATAAGTACTTTGTTAATTAAGCCAGTAAGCCAATTAGGCCCAAGGTGAACTTGAGGGCAATCAACTCCATAAACAGTGTGAGCTAAGTCTTAGAAGTGCACTTTAATTTTTAAAAAGCCTGGTTTTAGAGGCTGGATGGCTTGTGGGATTGCTCATTACAGAACAAAGCAACTGCCCAAATGCAGCGCAGGTCAGGAGCCGCCAAGAGCCACTATCACCCCGCAGCTTATCTGTGTCTTCGGAGCAGCTGCTCTAGACCTCATTTGAGACCTTACCAACCTGTAATTAATAGCTTCTCTAAGTAAACTAAATCAGAAAGCCAGCAAAAAGTAATTCAAAACTGCCTCCCAGGAAAGAGCCTTCCTAAGCCATAAGCCAGGGCATGGTGCTAAGAAAGCAATTTATAAGCTGACTGCCTTTGACTCCGGGTGAGCATCAGGCAGCTAGCTAGCTATGCTCCTTCCGCTAGGCTTTTACAGACCACAGGGCATTCACAAAACCTGCAGGAGCGAACAGAAACAGCTCAAGACTTTCTGAGGAGATGCAAATGGTTAGCAGCCCTTCCATCTCCAAAAGTCCATATTGCATGGCCACCCTTATTCACTAGCGATGAGCAGAGATGGCACAAGTGAGCATCAGGCAGCTAGCTAGCTATGCTCCTTCCGCTAGGCTTTTACAGACCACAGGGCATTCACAAAACCTGCAGGAGCGAACAGAAACAGCTCAAGACTTTCTGAGGAGATGCAAATGGTTAGCAGCCCTTCCATCTCCAAAAGTCCATATTGCATGGCCACCCTTATTCACTAGCGATGAGCAGAGATGGCACAAGCAGAAACACAGATACCTCAGAAGCCACCGTTTCTGCC